GCACCGAACGTAATGTAAAAGCACCGAACGTAATGTAAAAGCACCGAACGTAATGTTAAAAGGGCCGAATAACAAATGCGCCGAACGGAAAAGAGCCACCAAAGGCAGTAACGGCGTTCCATACAAATCTGTGTAGCAGATAGCGGTGAGCAAGGTTCCTAAGTATAGCCTATCAGTCCATGTCGTTCTCAGCAGGCCAGAACTATACTAACTATTTTAATTCAAGTATAGGCAATCAAAAGGGAGCTGGTTAGCGTGTTCTACTCGAGACATCCGCATCTACAATTTTGAAAATTTACCAAAATTGATTAATATGCATGAAGTTAGCCAATCACGTGATATACAAAATCAGTCATGCATACGATATCCCACATCAAATTTGATGTGGGAAATCGTACGCATGAATCGTTTGCCCAGGCCCTAATTCGAAAAAAAAGGAATCGAGTATGGGACGCCAATTAAATTAGGTATGGCGCGCACTAAGTGCAATAAAGAGTGAGTAACCTAAAATTAGGGCCTGGAACCCAGGCTAGTAATTAAAAATCACCTTATTTTGCGAGTTATCCCCTCATAATCACCAATCCCCACTTAACCTTCCTAACACCATCACCTCCCTTCCATTTCAAGACCCGTTACTGATGCTAGGGTCTGCTAGTGATAGGAAAAGTTCGTAAGCCTACTACTATACAGAATCAGGTTGCGTTCTATAGTCAAAATGCAATGCATGTTATTTTTAATACCGGCATGGTTGTCTTTTCTTCAAAAGAATTCTTATTCCTGTATTTTAACAAATTTCAATTCAAATAATAATAATTCAAAGTTTCTTCTATTCCGTCATATGTATGTAAATATATTTAAACTTTAATCGATTCAGGCTTATAGATAGAATTCCCGATCGGCAGTGGATTTGTGAGAAGAGCATGCGCACATACTCTTGGAAGCACTGCTTCCATTCCAGTGTTAAATTGGCTATTTTGACGCCACCACACGGTTGTCACAATAGCAAATTTAAGCGTTGTAGGGTATGCTCTGCACGCGATTTTTTTTCCCGTACGAAACATTTACATGAAACTCCACTCGGGCTGTCTCGGCTGAATCGACCCAAAAATCTCATTGCAGAATTCAGGAGGTCAAAAGGTCATCAACAGATAAACGTCTACAAAACAACTTCTGAGAGAACGTCGCTGTCTAATTTTTAAAAATACATTGATGTTACTATATGTTAATACCAATGGTCGTTTAAAATGACATATAATATTTGATTAAGCTGCACGAGTAATGAAAAGTGTTATTTTAACTTGAGTTACATATCATGACAATTTTAATTTTTTGGTTAGGCCTTGGTTTTGCATAATTAGGCCTACTAAGACGCTTTCTGGGAAAAGCACAAAGAGTAAGGAAAAGCGCGTTTTTCTTCATATGAAACAGGGTGACAGTTATTTTCAAATTAAGAGAAGAGCTCAGAATAGGCAGCTCTAAAATACTGGATGCCATAAGACCTGCCAAAATGGCAGAGCACCAATTATGAATGTAAAAATGAGCTAGTTATTAATATTAGGCATAGTAATCGGCAGTTTCTTGATTACAAGGCTAGACCAAGTTAATTACATGTAATGCCGAAATGATTATTATTATTATTATTATTATTATTGTTGTTGTTATTATTATTATTTTTATTAATTATTATTACCTGTACGTTAAGGGGAACTTAGACAATGGAGGAATTAGAGAACAATTTAAAAAACGACGTTAAGAGGAAGTACACAAAAGATATTCCCCTTGGGCTAGTTATTATTTATAGGCCTAGTAAATAGTATCTGTAGATTCTTCATTGCAAGCCTTAAGCCAAGGTAATTAATGCTGAAATTATTATTATTATTATTATTATTATTATTATTATTATTATTATATTATTAGTAATTATTATTACCTGTACCTTATGGGGAACTTAGACAATGGAGGAATTAGAGAACAATTAAAAAAACGACGTTAA